GAAATAGTCCCATATCTTTATAACTACAAGCGTTTTTGTATATTTTACGCTTAGCTTCCTTTGGATGCAGGCATTGAAAAGTTTTTGCCATTATGGGAAAAGTAGAGTTCACGAGCTCGCGATGGACACCAATATCACTGAAATCGCTTCAGCCGTTCAGGAGTTATAAGCGTTTAAATATTTTTAAAGAACGATATCAACCTACTACATGATTCTGTTCTCCTGGTGTAGAAAAATTTTCTGAAGCAATTTCGAAGTGATTTTTGAGCGACTGGTTTTCTACTATTCGGCAGTGAAACTATTAGCTTTGAAGGAGCATATCTCTGGAATGACTCAATGGATGTATATGATGATGGTACTCAATAGAAACGTTAGGAACTCGGCTATCTGAAAAACCAAGCTTTGATCGAAATAGTCCCATATCTTTATAACTACAAGCGTTTTTGTATATTTTACGCTTAGCTTCCTTTGGATGCAGGCATTGAAAAGTTTTTGCCATTACGGTGAAAAGTAGAGTTCACGAGCTCGCGATGGACACCAATATCACTGAAATCGCTTCAGCCGTTCAGGAGTTATAAGCGTTTAAATATTTTTAATGAACGATATCAACCTACTACATGATTCTGTTCTCCTGGTGTAGAAAAAATTTTCTGAAGCAATTTCGAAGTGATTTTTGAGCGACTGGTTTTCTACTATTCGGCAGTGAAACTATTAGCTTTGAAGGAGCATATCTCTGGAATGACTCAACGGATGCCCATGATGATGGTACTCATCTGAAGCGTACGAAACTCAGCTATCTGATAATGAAGGTTTCATCGAAATGTATTCAATAGTTTTTTAACTACAAGCGTTTTTCTACATTTCAAGCTTAAACTTCCTTTGGATGCAAGCGTTGTAAAATTTTTAACTGTGGGGTAAAGCTGAGTTCACAAGCTTTCCACTGACACCAATATCAATGGAATCGCTTCAGCCGTTTAGAAGTTATACTCAATTTTTAAAAGTGGTTTGACTCACATTTTTAGCGTTTTGGTTGTAGCACTATATGATTTAAACGCTTATAACTCTGTGAAAACCCAACAAATGTATATGATGATGGTACTCAATAGAAGCGTTGGGAACTCGGCTATCTGAAAAACCAAGCTTTGATCGAAATAGTCCCATATCTTTATAACTACAAGCGTTTTTGTATATTTTACGCTTAGCTTCCTTTGGATGCAGGCATTGAAAAGTTTTTGCCATTACGGTGAAAAGTAGAGTTCACGAGCTCGCGATGAACACCAATATCACTGAAATCGCTTCAGCCGTTCAGGAGTTATAAGCATTTAAATATTTTTAATGAACGATATCAACCTACTACATGATTCTGTTCTCCTGGTGTAGAAAAATTTTCTGAAGCAATTTCGAAGTGATTTTTGAGCGACTGGTTTTCTACTATTCGGCAGTGAAACTATTAGCTTTGAAGGAGCATATCTCTGGAATGACTCAACGGATGCCCATGATGATGGTACTCATCTGAAGCGTATGAAACTCAGCTATCTGATAATGAAGGTTTCATCGAAATGTATTCAATAGTTTTTTAATTACAAGCGTTTTTCTACATTTCAAGCTTAAACTTCCTTTGGATGCAAGCGTTGTAAAATCTTTAACTGTGGAGAAAAGCTGAGTTCACAAGCTTTCCACTGACACCAATATCAATGGAATCGCTTCAGCCGTTTAGAAGTTATACTCAATTTTTAAAAGTGGTTTGACTCACATTTTTAGCGTTTTGGTTGTAGCACTATATGATTTAAACGCTTATAACTCTGTGAAAACCCAACAAATGTATATGATGATGGTACTCAATAGAAGCGTTGGGAACTCGGCTATCTGAAAAACCAAGCTTTGATCGAAATAGTCCCATATCTTTATAACTACAAGCGTTTTTGTATATTTTACGCTTAGCTTCCTTTGGATGCAGGCATTGAAAAGTTTTTGCCATTACGGTGAAAAGTAGAGTTCACGTGCTCGCGATGAACACCAATATCACTGAAATCACTTCAGCCGTTCAGGAGTTATAAGCATTTAAATATTTTTAATGAACGATATCAACCTACTACATGATTCTGTTCTCCTGGTGTAGAAAAATTTTCTGAAGCAATTTCGAAGTGATTTTTGAGCGACTGGTTTTCTACTATTCGGCAGTGAAACTATTAGCTTTGAAGGAGCATATCTCTGGAATGACTCAACGGATGCCCATGATGATGGTACTCATCTGAAGCGTATGAAACTCAGCTATCTGATAATGAAGGTTTCATCGAAATGTATTCAATAGTTTTTTAATTACAAGCGTTTTTCTACATTTCAAGCTTAAACTTCCTTTGGATGCAAGCGTTGTAAAATCTTTAACTGTGGAGAAAAGCTGAGTTCACAAGCTTTCCACTGACACCAATATCAATGGAATCGCTTCAGCCGTTTAGAAGTTATACTCAATTTTTAAAAGTGGTTTGACTCACATTTTTAGCGTTTTGGTTGTAGCACTATATGATTTAAACGCTTATAACTCTGTGAAAACCCAACAAATGTATATAATGATGGTACTCAATAGAAGCGTTGGGAACTCGGCTATCTGAAAAACCAAGCTTTGATCGAAATAGTCCCATATCTTTATAACTACAAGCGTTTTTGTATATTTTACGCTTAGCTTCCTTTGGATGCAGGCATTGAAAAGTTTTTGCCATTACGGTGAAAAGTAGAGTTCACGAGCTCGCGATGAACACCAATATCACTGAAATGGCGCTGCGAATTATGGCCCCAGGTAAAATGGCCCCAAAATATAAAACGAAAAATTGCCCCAATGTTGGGGTCAAAATTCATTATGAAGTATAACCCTAACATTTTTTAAGAAAAATCACCCCAAAATTAATGAAAAATCTCCCCAAGGTTGAAATGAAAAGTGGCCCCAAATATTGGGTTAATTTTTCGTAATGAACAATTACCCCAAAAACGTAAATGAAATTTCACCCCATTTAATTTTAATTCAAATATAGGTGACGTGTCATAAAGTCCAGTGTCATATTTTCCATGGGCGTTATGACTCACTAAATTGAGTCTAGTGTCCATGGACGTTATAACAATTTCAAAAGTGTCACAATGCATATGAGCAATGTAACATAAAGTCTATGGATTTCAAAGAGTCCATTTATCAAAAGAAGGCTTAATTTAGCGAAGCCGGTATTCAAAATACCCCAGAGTTTAAAACCCCTGCGCCCGGCCGAAGGCCGGCTATACAGAAAACTTTTTAAATGGAAACCAAAATGCAACATACACCAAATTTAGGATAAATTCCTTTGGGGGTAAGAATGTCCCTTTCATAAATTCTTTACAAATTTTCAAATACAGTTCTGTTTTAAAAGTGATACAATGTCAATGGACATTATAACACTTTTAAAAATTGTCATAACGTCCATGGACACTATGAAACTTTTTGGTGTGTCATAACGTCAATGGACATTATGACATCCCACCTCAAATATAAGCTAACATATTTATAAAATTTCATATTTAATAATTTTTGTTGTATTTTCATTAAATGTTTGTTAATTTTGAACATTCTTGAAATATTTTTTGTAAAAATATGTTCAAAATTAACAAACATTTTATGAAAATACAACAAATATTATTACATAAAATATTTTTTAATAAAAAATATCGCGCGATAATGTTCTGATTTTTTATAAAATATTAATAAATAGTAATAATGAAAGATCACCCCTAATTATTATATGGTTTTTTAGGTCCCTTTTTAATATTTTAATATTCACGTATTTTACAAAATTTAAGAATGAAAATTAGCCCCAAAGGAAAAAAGTTTTGTTTTGGGGTATTTCTTCATTTCACAACATTGGGGTCATTTTTATTTTTTTTGCAAAATGCTGTATTACCCCAAATGTAAAAATGTTGAAATACCCCAAAAAATATATGAGAAAAAAAACAAAAGTTTCGTGTTTTTGTTTCCTGTATCTTTGTTGGGGCCATATTTCGTTTTACGTTTTGGGGCCATTTTACCTGGGGCCATAATTCGCAGCGCCCACTGAAATCGCTTCAGCCGTTCAGGAGTTATAAGCATTTAAATATTTTTAATGAACGATATCAACCTACTACATGATTCTGTTCTCCTGGTGTAGAAAAATTTTCTGAAGCAATTTCGAAGTGATTTTTGAGCGACTGGTTTTCTACTATTCGGCAGTGAAACTATTAGCTTTGAAGGAGCATATCTCTGGAATGACTCAACGGATGCCCATGATGATGGTACTCATCTGAAGCGTATGAAACTCAGCTATCTGATAATGAAGGTTTCATCGAAATGTATTCAATAGTTTTTTAATTACAAGCGTTTTTCTACATTTCAAGCTTAAACTTCCTTTGGATGCAAGCGTTGTAAAATCTTTAACTGTGGAGAAAAGCTGAGTTCACAAGCTTTCCACTGACACCAATATCAATGGAATCGCTTCAGCCGTTTAGAAGTTATACTCAATTTTTAAAAGTGGTTTGACTCACATTTTTAGCGTTTTGGTTGTAGCACTATATGATTTAAACGCTTATAACTCTGTGAAAACCCAACAAATGGTTTGGGTATTTTTACTGGTATATATATACATATGTAAAAAATAATAAAATTAGCCAATTGTTTAAATTAAAACGAGACAAAGTAAGGTAAACATGAAATGGTCCCATCAAAATAAGAAATGCAATAATTTTGTTTAACTCAAAAAATTCAATAAATTTATTATTCACATTCGTTTTTATAGTTCAATGATTTTGTGTTTTACTTTAGTTATTTTATTTTTAAATTAACAAATACATGTATGCTTAGTTTAACTAAAAATGCATTTCGTTTTTTAATAATATAATTAATAATAGTATAATAGTAATATTTTTGTTTTTTAGAATATTTTATGTGTTTTTATGATTTGTTACAGATACATCACTTGTTGTAAATGCTTAACTTAAGAATAACTTACCACCACTATACTCCATTTTTTGCAGAGTTTACGTAAAGCCTTTTTACAGCATCACGGTTTTAGTTTCCAAAAGTTTTTTTTCGGTTTAGCACCCGTCGCAGAGGAATCAGAGGCTGAGCGGCCGGACGCCCGCTGTGTGTCGGAGCTACGGCGGGCAAAGTTAAAGGGCGACGCTAGTAAATGACCATTTGCTGGTGAGGTAACAGCTGTTCCACAGCTACCCAAAGAAGTCATCATGCCAATACCCTGATCCTCGGATGAAACCATACTACTTTTGGAAGTCGATGTACCGGATGCAGTTGATGATCGACAACTACGCATATTGTGGGGTAAAGTGGTGGGTTGTATAAGATGATGCTGACCAGCATGCTGGTGCAGTTGATGCTGTTGGGCGTGGTGGTTGTGATGCTGATGACTTGGCGTTGGACCTGTTTTATAATAGCGCAGACTTTCATTATAACTCGCACCACTGCTACTGCCACTACCGCTGAAGCCACTATCGAGGTCACCCTCATCAAACTCAGGATTTATACAAGAACTGTGGGTGTGATCCTTCAGTTCGATGGAGTTTAGAGTTGAAGAAAGATTTTCTAGGCTGGCGTGAGATAAGGTACGCTGCTGTGAAGAAGACACTGTGGATGAAGAAGAGGAAGCGGCACCTCCCAACAAACCTCCGCGACGTGGTCCTCTATGAGAACCAGATGATACAGAGGCCCTAGATGTTGCCGCTGCTACTGCCGCCGCTGCAGCACTAGTGGATGGGCCGTCATCATCTTCCACCTGATTTGGACTTATATCGGGTGGGGTTTCAGGCATAATCAAAGCTTCCAATGACAAATTCAATTCATCCAATACCCGAAAGTGATTGTGCTGAACTCTTCTAAGCTCTTCCTTAACATTGGATGTCGCTATGCGATTATCGGACAAGACTTTACGTATCTTCTGATCATTAACCTCCTCGTATAGATTTTCAGTTGTACCATAACGAGTAGTATAGGTGTGTCTCTCATCAGTGCCGCTGGGCGAAGAAGATGTTGATTGGCCACTATTCGATTTTGAACGAAAACTTTTAGCCAGTAATGCTCTAATGGAATTGCGGGTTGGACTTTTAGAGGGAGGCGCGGCACTTATCAAAGGGGCTGGTACAATAGCAGAAGCTTCATCCTTTTGCGGTATATTTATGTGACATTTTGCAGCGCCTGGTTCATAGTAAGCATAAGAGTAAACATGATTGTAGGGTGTAGAACCCGAAGGACCAGCAGAATTACTCGATGCTGCTGCTGCAGCTCCACCTTGATAAGTTTGTGAGGGTGCAGGTGAAATTTGCTGCTGCGAATGGTGTGATGGTGTCGATGAAGGTGTTACAACGCTGGCAGCAAAACCATATTCAAGCGAAGAAGTCGATGAAGAGGAATGATGTTGCGTGGGCTCGAAACGTTCCATGGTGGCAGCAATATTTTTACGAGACCATTTTACCTGTAAGTAAATGAAAAGGAAATATAGTTTTAGAATAAAAGGTGATATCTTTCAAGTACCTTTAATAAAAGTATAATAAGCTATACAGTTTAAAATATTACTAACCTGCTGTTCTACATCCATTTTATGATTGCTACGCCTACTGTGTCCCCTTCTTCGTCTCTCTGTAAAGGCTTCACCCGTACACAGGCCATTCTTGCCATGTACCAGCAACATTTCACTGCTTACACCATGACCCATGCCATTCGAAGGTCCAGGTGCTGGAGGCATACAAAATTCTATACTATCCATTTCGTCGGGAAATATTAAATCACCACGATGATGGCCCAAACTACCACCACTCGACATTGCAGCCAACATGCCACCCGTCATAGTATTTGAATTCACCATATGATGGGCGGATGAAGAATTTGAACGAGATTTAATACTACTGCCGGCATTCATGCTTTTGCCGGGATGACGCATGGACATACCATGAGATGGATATTGTTGTTGCTGAGGCAGATGATGTTGTTGCATTTGTTGTAGTTGTTGTTGCTGTTGAAGGTGTTTTTGCTGCTGCTGTTGTTGATTATGCAAATGTACCGTTGCTTGAGCCTGAACATGTGGATAATCGGAGGGCGGCGAAAAACTGGCAAATTGGGGTGACGCTGGTCGAGTTTGAAACTTTGTTGCCGTACCCGGAAACATGGTATTATGATGCATAGCCATGTGAGCCAGTTTGATTAAGTATTAATATATATATTACGACAGTTGAGAAAACTATTAAATCAACTTATATCCTTTTATGGCTAGGATAAACGTTTACTTGTCCTTAAATTGTCAATTTTGTGTTGAAGACACTTAACAGCATTATTTTATTTGAATAAACAAATTATTTACTTGTTTACTACCGCCTTGTTGTTCCAACTGTAAAGATAAGAAATATTTATAGAGAGAAATTAAATAATATGTTTAAATTTACATTTTAATTAGATTAAAAGTTAACATTTTTCTAAAGCTTAAAATTTTCGTTAATAATTCAAAGATATTATTTAATTAAAAAGAAAAAATCTTCTTTACTAACAATTTTAGCTTTTTTAATTTCTTTCTTTATTTCTATAATAATAATACCCTGCATTTGTGTATGTATTGTCCTGACTAGGAAAGACAATTTTATTCATGTCATTTTTTGACATTTTAAGGGTTTTGTTGTCAAATTTTAATAAATTTATGCAAACAACACACACACACACACATTTTGCTGTTGGACCATAGATAACCAAACATATTAAACAAAGAAAAAAAAGTAACAAAACAGAACCCTTGTTGACCAATTTACTTTAAAGATAAAACTTGCAACACAAACTTGAACATCAATACGAATTTAGCAAACTTTTTAGAAAAGTTAAGGAAATATTTAATATGTTTATGATTTGAACGGTGTGTCCTGCTGTATTGTAGGGTATTTAATAAAGTGTTTTATTTTAATTGACTTAAAGCTTTTTGTTTATTTTAATTTTTGTACAATTTAAATTTACATAAAATATAATAAAGTTTTTTTTTCTTTGTCCTTTTTTGTGTGTATGGTCTTAGGGACTTGTACATATATTGGAGCATTTTAATGTATAATATTTTTCCATATGAATTTATTATATAAATTTATGTAAATCTTAGATGTATGAAAAACGTTTATTGTAGAGTAAAAACAAAATGTTAAATATAATACATATATAGTAATTAGTTGTTGATGTAAATTTATTAAAGCTTAGAATAGTTTTTCTTTCAAAAATGTTATGAAATGTTTAAAATTTTATAGAAAATTTAAGTCAAATTTGTTTCTAGTTGTTAAAAAGTTCAAAAACTTTATAATTTTAGTTTTTTAAGGGTTAAGAACTTTGTTATCAGATCATATTGGACGTTCGCTGGGTCATGACAGAATTATTAAAAAGAAACAGTTCCACTATTAAAACATTAATAATGTGGAGGTAGAAACTTCCAAAAACTCGTTGATATCTGTTAGGAACATTAATGTCAATGGAAGGCTTGTGACCTCTCATGCTGGAAAGTTTATCAAGAAGAAACCTTAAGCTAAATAAATCAAAAAATAGGAACTCCTGTTTTTAAGACAGCCAAGTCCCGAATGCTTCCGTTAAGTACCACGGTCATATGTAGATCAAAACAGAGTTATGATCATTCAAGCAGTGACAGTTATACTACTTAAACTTAAAAAGTCTGAAATGCTACAGAAATTTGCATGAAATAACTGTGAATTCTAATGTTCTCCGTGGTAACAGATTTTTAACGCCTGTTTCCAAAGAAAGATTAAGAGTAAAATATATAAAAATTTCCTTATTATAAGAATAACATACTGTCGAATTTCAAACTATTTAGTTTTACTGTTAAAACGGCACGAATATGTAGCGAGAAACATTTAAAAATTGCTAGAATCAAATTGATCAAAATTGTAATTAAATTTGGACACCTGGAAACTCATAAGCCTACTTTTTTTTAACATTACCTGAGTTTAGTTTATAAGACTAACTTTTTAATTCAATGAAAATTTGAATTTGTTTTATAAAATTGTTACCCCACACGTAATATTTAATTATAAAAATTAAAAATCACTCATACGCTCAGTATACAAAATGATAATATTGGCAGGACTATGTGTAGTATGAGTAATATTTTAAACAGCACGGCTAGATAAATTAATTTTTTGGTATATATAAAACTTTTTCAATATATTTTGTCTAAATCACATACTGCCAATGTTGCCAAGCACACAAAACACTTTCCATTCAAAATTAAATACCTTTCGAGGTCACTTGTTACACAACTGGTACCTTAAAAACTCATTCATACAATTTTCAAGCCTAAACTAAACAAAAACAGTTCTTTTCTCTTAAACATTTCAAAAGTAAAAAAAAACTGATTTTTTTTCTTTTGTACAAATATGAATGCTAAAATTCGTAAAATTTGTAAAATGTAAAACTACTATGCACTAAAAACTTTTACAATTTTTATTTGGCCAAAAATAGACCTAAACCAAAGAGGGAAAAAACGTATTTTTAGTTAAACAAAAACACAATAAATATACCATTTTTCACAACCACGAATACAACAACATCAAGAACGAATTGCAAGTCAATGTTGTTTATTGCCCATATTCGACATAGAGATGTGATGATGTAAAGAGACACAGCAACACAACAGCATATGAGAGCAATTTTATAAAATTTCCATTTGTGAATTTGTTTACTTCAACGGAAAAAAAAAACAGTTGAAAACAAAATAACAAAAATATATACTTGCATATATGCAGTATATTCCATTTGCTGAAAAATCACAATTTTTATTTATATTTAGTATTTGTCCATTTAGAATTTTTGAAATGTATGCCAGTAAATGTATATAGGATACAACAAATAGGAAGTGAAATATAAAAAGAGAACAACATTGTATGCATATGTATGAGTAAAATGTTTGCATGCCATTCACTATGCAGTTTTTATTTATTTTATTTTTAAGTGCCTAAGTGTAGGCGCATAAAAGCAAGGGCTATAAATCATTACACAGCCAAAACATTTACTATACAGCTACATACATGTATTCATAGTTATCTATATACATATACATATGTATATGAATATACAGATAAACAAAAAGTCTATATATAAATATGTGTATGTATACTCATTTACTTGCATATATGTACTATTTTATTTACATATATATTTTTTTTTAGAAAATTGCTTGGGATTTTGTTTTGTATAGTTTAGAAAATTTAATTGTTAACATTTAGTTAGAATTGCTTAGAGAATAAAAAGCACTTCATTTAATTTAGTAAACGTTTAGATGATTTTTGCCAATAGTTTTTGTGTATGGACCATTTAAACGTTTTGATAAATAATTGGGTTTATTTGGAAAATTTTAGAAAAAAAATTGTTTCTGTTCTGTTATTTCCAGAGTATTATTTACAAAATATAGTAATATTTTTCTTAGAATTTTAGTCATTTAAATGTGAAATTTATACACATTTATTATTATTTTTGTTTTTTTTAATTGACCAAATTAACAATTTAGTTTAAAAATTTAGAATTTTAATACTAAAAGATTTGATACTTTATGATTTCAGAACAAATTGTACAAATATTAATATTTTCATAGACTATTAACTATATCATAGTCTAGTGTAACCTTCAAGAAACATCTAGAATATCCAGAAAATTATGTCGATTACTGCGAAAAATACTAAATACCTGTGCGGAAAGCTTTTCGCAAGGGTTCTAAGGAGTATTATTGAATATACAGTTCCTATATGGGTAGAATCAACAAAGTTTTGTTCATATCGTAATAAAATCATTTCCGCGAACAGATTAGCATGTCATAATTTCTCTTCTTTAATAAAAGGCTAGTAAATTTGCTATTCCATAATCTAGGCAACTGACTAATTCATACACTAGTATAGTCCATAGTATACATACTTTTATAGACCATTGTATAATTTCATTGTAAAATTCCAAAAAGACTACTATACCATAGTGCACTTAAAACCCGCAAAAAAATTTTTTGTGAAATTTTAAACTTTTTCTTCTTTAATATCAACCTGCCCTAGAACTTTAAAAACTTGACAACAAGGAAATTTTATTTAAAATAAAACTGTCTATAATAATTTTACGTGATTTATGACATTTTTCTAATATAAAAAGTTTTCTATTTTAAAACAGTTTTTGAATAATATATTGTATAATACAATATTATTTTTTGCTATTTTGTTGTTATTGGAATTGATGCTGTTGTATACATATATATGTAGTTGTATAGTTTTTGTTATTTCTAGAGCACTTATCAAATTCTATCATATTTGATATGTTGATTTCACTATATACGAGAGTATAAAAAGAACAAGAATATAACTTTTTTAAAAATAAACTGATACAACAAAGTTCTAAAAGTAACTAACTCACACAAACACATAATAGAAACAAATATACTCATACATACACACATATGTATGCAAGCATGTTAACCGTATGAAAATTATGTTTAAAGTTGGTAGTATTGTTGTTGTTGGTTATTTTATCTATGGCAAAGAATCTTAAAGTTTTATATGGGTATAAATCAATCATAACTTATGTCATATTTTACTCTCTCATATGCATATAACAACCAACCAACCAACAGCAACAACATTATGAGTTTTATCTTGTTGTTGTTGTTTTTGTTTTCTGAGTCATTTGTTGTTAAGATAAATACGTGTGTATATTTTTCTAGATCCCTGTATACTATGTAGTAGATATGTTAGCATTAGTTTAAAAAAAAACTACTCTAAAGTATTTGTTGTTTATTTTGTTTTTGCTGTAAATGACACTTTAGTATGTTTACAAAAACTTACACATATACACACTCTTCTCTAGTCTAGTTGGATTGGTGTGGCGTCATTGTTTATTCTGTGACAGGCGGGTCGTTAATATGGGGATTTTGCATGCATATACACAGATACTCAAGCAAAAACTTTAACAGATAGTTTTATGTCAAATAGTATGGAATGAGAAGGGAAAATATCGTGCTATGTTCGAGCAAGTATCTTACTTAGTTATAGTAATTGTAGTGATGTTTGTTGTCTGTCTGTCTGTCTGTCTCTTTGTCTACAAGTATGAATTGTTGTTAAAGCACTTGCTTTGCATTTGTTACTTGTACAAATTGTCATGTCGAGACAGATATATTACTGACACTGGCTTAAATATAAATTCACCAAAAAAAAAGAACTAAAATACAGCTTAAGAAGCTTTATGCTTGGGATAAACATGTATAGAGATCTATGAAAGTTTGTGTGAGTATTTATTAAAAAATTTCATAGATATCTTAATGTTTTAAATCCAATAGGAATTATTTAAAAATATGTATTTAAAAATTGTCAGCATTTT